GTTAGGGCCTGTTCTGGTGGTGATGTCTCATCCATAGACAGTGCTTGTTCCAACTCTGAAATTTCACTCGTCGTTAGAGCTTTTCCAGTCAGCCCCTGTTCTGGTGATGACATCTTGACTGTAGTCAGGGTCTGCTCTGGTGGTAATATTTCGCCTGTACTGAGAGTTTGTTCTGTTGGCGACAGCGCAGGTGCAGTTATTGCTATCTCTGGACGGGTCCGTCCTCGTGGATGCAGTTCGCCTGGAGTCAATATCCGGTCTGGCAGCAATATTATGCCTGTAGTTAGCTTTTTTTCTGTTGGTAACATTAGATCTGGGTTCAGGGTGAGTTCTGAAGGAGGTAACTTATCTGTAGTCAGGGGCTGGGGTGTTCTACCTGTAGTTAGGGCCTCTTCCTTCGGTGACGGTTCCTCTGCAGTCAGTGCCTGTTCCGCTGGAGTTAGTTCGCCTGTAGTCAGCACCTCGTCTCCTGGGAATAGCTCGCGTATAGCAAACATGTGCTGCGGCGGTGATATTTCGAATATTGTAAGGGAGTGCTCCTGTAGCGATGCATCATCCGTAGTCGCCGTCTGTTCGGACGACGACGTGCCGCCTGTTAGCAGGATGTTCTGTGGCCGGAACAGCTCGACTCTGATGGCTGTAATCACTGACTGTTCATTTGCCGACAGGTCGTCTGTAGTCACGCTCAACTCTGACCAGGTGGTCGACGCGCTCAGTGTCTGCTCCGCCGTGGAAGGTTCGCCTGTAGTCAGCGTTCGGTCTGGCCCTGACAGCTCGCCTGTAGGTGGCGTTTGCACCAGCGGGGAGTGTTTGCCTGTAGCCAGCGCCTGTTCCTGCAGGGGGGGCTCGGCTGCGGCCAGGGTGTAATCCGACAGGGACAGTTTGCCTGTAGCCAGCGCCTGGTCCCGCAGGAACAGTTTGCCTGTGGCCAGTAACTGCTCGGGCAGGGACAGGCGGCCCGTGGCCAGCGGGGAGAGTTTGCCTGTCGCCTGCAGCTGCTCCAGGAGGGAGAGCGCACCAGCAGCCAGGGTTGGTTTCGGCAGAGGGAGTTTGCCTGTAGGCAGTGGGGGCAGCGTGCCTGCAGCCCGCGCCCCTCCTTCCTCCTCACCCCCTGACAGGGATGCCCCGCCTGTAGCCCGGCCCGTCTGCGGCAGGGAGAGCCATCCCGCGGCCGGCGCCTGTTCCCCCGGGGGCAATGCCTGCTCCGGCAGGGAATGGCTGCCTGTAGCCAGGGGGGCCCGCTGAGGCGGGGAGGAGTGGTGTGCCCCACCCTCGGGCCGGGGCGGCAGGCCCTGGAGGAGACGGTCGGAGGTGCGGCCGGCCTCCAGGTGGGCCGAGGTGGTGCCCGCCAGCGAGACGGCGCTACCGGGCGACGAGGGCCAGGAGGGGGGCAACGGTAGGTCCCGGTCCGAGGCAGCAAGGCCCTCGACCGTCAGGGCCTGGTCGGAGAGGGAGCCCGCAGGGCTCGGCGCCCAGTCGGGGACGGCCCCCGAAAGGCCGAGCAGCCTCTCCTCCCCCTCCCCGGCCGTACCCCGGACCCCCACCACCCGCCCAGCTGCCCCCCAGCTCCAGGGCACGGAGAGCAGCTGGGCCTCCCAGGGGACCGATGGCGGAGGGGGCAAGGGGCTACCGGGCACTGCCACCCCTACCACCCGGGCACCCTTCTCGTGCGCGGAGGAGGAGGAGGAGCCCGGGGGAGGGGGGGGTTGGAGATGGGGAGGGGGTGGGGCGTCCTGCCAGCTGTCGATGGTCAGGACCCTCCCCCAGATGGAGCGATCATCTGGGGAGGATTCCGCTGGGAGCTGGGAGGCCGACTTCTCATCCCGGGTGTAGATGGTGAGGATCTCCCCCCAGGCGGACTTCTCGTCCGAAGAGGCGGGCGCTGCCAGCCCGCCCTCCCAGGGTGTGACCTCCGAGGGCCCCCCGTAGTGCGGTGGCGGGGCGCCCCCCTTCCCACCCCTCTCCTCCTCCTCCTTCTCCCCGGGCCCGTAGATGCTCAGCACCTGCTCCCAAGCGGCGCCCTGGTCCCCGGGCTCCGGGGAACCCCGCCCGGCGTGGCCCGCCCCCTCCCGGGTGACCCCCGGGGGCTCCCCAATGGTCAGGCGCCTGGGCCGGGCCTGGGGGGCCGGGGGTGAGGTGGGGGTGGGGGCAGGGGTTGGGGGGGAGGGGGTCCGCTGGCCCTCCAGCCCTCCAGTCGCCTCAGTGGCGGGGGGCTCGGAGGGGCGGTCTGTCTCCAGTAGGGCGGCGACGTTTCCGGAATCTTCCTGGGGCGCGTCCTCCTCCTCCCCCCCCACTGCCACCATCTGGGTCCTGATGTAGTAGTAGCTTTCAATGAGGGAGTTGGTCCTCAGGGGGTGCTTGGAGGGCTGGGCAGTGGGTGCGGCGCCATCTTCGTGTTTGGGGCGGTGAGCGGAATCCTGCAACGGGGGTTGGGGGTGGGGGGAGTGGATGGAGGAGGAAGGAGGGAGGGGTGGGGTGAGGTAGAGTTTGGCCGGGGGTTAATGCAGTGGCCAGGTGCCCCCTCATCCCTCCGCACATGCCCCCACCCCGCCCTCCCCCAACCCTTCGCCACTTTTCCGCCCACCCCAACGGAGAGGGACAGGAATTTCGGGCACGCGAGACGGGGACCCACTTGGCAACAGCGATCACAACGTCAGAGCGATGGGGGAGAGAAGGCAGAGCTCGGGAAACGTCCCACCCCTCCCCCTCCCCAGACCCGCCCGGGAGTGGGGTGAGGGGCGTCCGTGAGGGTATTCAGCCGGGCGTGTGGGGTTGGGGGTGTGGGGTGGAAACGTGGTGGACGGAGGCGATGCCTTCCCAGACCCGGCGGGGGTGCGGGCGGGGGCGTTTCCCGAGCCCTGCCTTCCCTCCCCCCTCGCTCCGACGTTGTGATCGCTGTTGCCAAGTCGCTCCCCGTCTCGCGTGCCCGAAAGGGAAGGGCAGAGGTAACGACGGACGCAGTTTAATCCAAACAAGTGCGAGGTGACGCATTTCGGGAGGTCGAACGAAAGGGAGGAAAGCTTGCAGGGAACGGGAAGTCCAAAAAATTATTGGGGGGTGGGAGTGGGCATCGGAGAGGGTTCGGATCTGTCAAATGCCAAACTGGGGGGGTGGGGGGCACGGGTTTAAGCGCGGAACGTTTTATTTTAAACGCAGAGGGTGGGAAATGGTCGAAGCAGATAGGGAAGGGTCTGACCTATCGGCCTCATCGATTCCCAGTTAGACACAGAGTAAAGCTCCCTCTACACGGCCACCCCCCACCCCAAGGCAGGGCATACCGTCGAAGGTAAAGCGCGCAGTTTCTCCCGCACTCATTAAGGTGTTTGCTGGAAGCCCCGCCCCTCGGTAGAGGCCAGAATGCGAGTGCGTCAGCGAGCCGACGACTGACAGTTAACTGCCGAGCTCGGTTTTTGAACTAAAACCAGCTTGATTTCGATTGGCCGCCGAGGTGGTCAGGTTGGGGTGGGGGGTGGGGGTTTGTTGGGAGTTGGATTCCTGTTTATAAATACTCCCTAGGACTGATGGGCCATTTCAGTTCACGCCCAGGGATGTGTGGGTTAGGGCGGGTTGGCCAATGGGAAGTTGTCCCGTAGTGCCCAGGGATGTGTGGGTTAGGGTGGGATTGGCCGTGGGGAAATTGTCCCGTAGTGCCCAGGGATGTGCGGGTTAGGGTGGGATCGGCTGTGGGGAAATTGTCCCGTAGTGCCCAGGGATGTGGGGGTTAGGGTGGGGTTGGCCAATGGGAAATTGTACCGTAGTGTCCAGGGATGTGCGGGTTAGGGTGGATTGGCCAATGGGAAATTGTCCCGTAGTGCCCAGGGATGTGCGGGTTAGGGTGGGTTGGCCAATGGGAAATTGTCCCGTAGTGCCCAGGGATGTGCGGGTTAGGGTGGGTTGGCCAGTGGGAAATTGTCCCGTAGTGCCCAGGGATGTGCGGGTTAGGGTGGGATTGGCCAATGGGGAAATTGTCCCGTAGTGCCCAGGGATGTGCGGGTTAGGGTGGGTTGGCCAATGGGAAATTGTCCCGTAGTGCCCAGGGATGTGAGGGTTAGGGTGGGTTGGCCAATGGGAAATTGTCCTGCATCAATTTAAACCAGGCTGGTGGAGATGGAGTGACAGTTAACTGCCGGGCCTGCGTTTAAATTTAAACCAGACGAGTTGCATGGAGGACCAGCAAGTGTGGTAGCAAAGCAGAAGGGGAGCCGTCACTAAGAGGAGTGGAGGGAGGATATGGGAGCACCTCGAAGGGAGAGAGAGAGAGGGAGAAGAGTTACTGGGAGACGGAACGGGGCTGTGGCGATGGGCCGAATGGCGTTGGAGCTGACCCAGACTAAACACAGAGCTTGTGGTGCTCGGGGGTAGTTACTTACTCTTGAGGATCCCGAACAGCACAGAAGCTTCCTCATTGACATGGTGTCCCATCAGTTAGGGTGCAAACTTCATTTGGATATACACGGGCCCATTCTATCAGGAGAGCACAACAGGGAGAGGTTCGTCAGGGAGAGGGCCGCAGTGTTACAGGCACAAGAAAGGGGGAGGCAGTCGAACTCCAACCTGCCCCCCCCGCCCCCCGTTATAAAACACAGGGACAGCACGGGGTTAGATACAGGGTAAAGCTCCCTCTACA